GAGAGGAGATTTATGGGCTGGATTGAGGTTGGGTTTCTTTATCGGGGGAAATGTTTCCTTTTTCGAGGCTTCTGTGTTTTTTTTTCATTTTTATTTTTTATTTTATTTTATTTTTATAGTTTGGAGAGGAGATTTATGGGCTGGATTGAGGTTGGGTTTCTTTATCGGGGGAAATGTTTCCTTTTTCGAGGCTTCTGTGTTTTTTTTTCATTTTTATTTTTTATTTTATTTTATTTTTATAGTTTGAGGGATGGGGGTTTTTGTAGGGTGCGCACGGGAATCTAGGGGGTGGAGGCTCGGAGTTTTGTACAGTGTACACACTGGAAGCGGATTCCAGGGGGGTTTCTGAAATTTTGGTGTGAATGTTTGTCGCCGGTATAGAGTCCTGTACTCTGGAGTCGAATACTTCAGACTTTTGTGGTTTTATTATCCTTTTCGGATTTATATATTCTCAGTTATTTATATGTGCTAGGCTATTTAAAATTGATAGCGGGGCCGAATCTAAAGCTTTGGATCTAATCGTATAGTTGGCTTGAAAAAAAATGCCAAAATATCGTCAGATATATAAAAAAAATTACCAAACTTGTGATATGGATGTACAAAAAAAAAGTATCATTTAGATAATCTGGCAGTCTTCAAATTATGACATTTATTTCAAAGAATTGCTGATATCTCAGAAGACAAAGGAATACGAAAGCCAGGTAAGCCTCAAGCTTTCAAACGTGGAAACTTTAAGAGAGAAGGAGGGTGGGATAATAAACGGATTAAAAAAAATCCTTCTTGGTTGGTATATAAGTATTCTTTACTATGCAAACATAATTTTTTTTTTTTTACTGAATGTTTCCGATTCTTGTAAGAAACTCACATATTAATTTAAGAACTTTTAACCACTAGTATTTGTTAAACTCACTTTTAACACTAGTTAAATTCCATTTTAAATATTTATCCATTCTATCTTAATAGCTTGTAATTTGTTAAACTCACTTTTAACACTAGTTAAATTCCATTTTAAATATTTATCCATTCTATCTTAATAGCTTGTAAACTCACTTTTAACACTAGTTAAATTCCATTTTAAATATTTATCCATTCTATCTTAATAGCTTGTA